CCCCAAAACCCCAAAACCCCATTTGAGTAAAAATTGTTAATCAGAGTAAATTGAATAATTGAAATTAATTACATTGCAAATAAATCAAGAAATTAATCTAAAAATAAATTCATTTTTTAATAAAATAATTATTAAGATGTTAATGTGATTTTATAAGTATAATAACTTGCGTAAACTGCACTTATAGAGTTGCACATTCAAAAATAAGGAATAGTGAGAGTTATTGATATATTAATGTTCAATGAAGGTAAAAGCTTTCATTTCCTCTAAGACTCTCAATTTATCTTGGCTATTAGATTTTTATTTACTAGGAATATTCGCTTTATTTTTGACTTTAGGGAAATATAGTTTTAAATGGTTCTTAGTAGCTCTAATTTCTATCAAAATGAATGGTTTATTAATAAAACTTATTATAAGACTCTTAGTTTTGCTTCATTAATAAATTCTAGAGATTGAAGTAGAGTTATTATTCACCCTTAATTATACAATCACTCTTGGATTATTGAATTGTATCGCTACTTTAGATTGATATATGTTGCGGGTTGAAAAAATTATTTTTTCTTTAACTTTCTAGTACTTTGATATTCTATGTAAATTGGTATTTTTATTTTTATAAGTTTTCGTAGTCTCTTGTGTAGTATTTGAAATCGAAAATTATTTTTGCTTAATCTGAATCTGTAAAGTCGCTTTAGACAGCATTATTTGCTTAAATTGAAGTTATTGAAGAGTTTCCTTGGATAATTCTACAATTAGAATCTATTAAGCTATACTAAGCAGCATACTGCTAATCTGACACCGTTTATTTTTATTATATTTTTAAATATGGATCTATTTCAATTTAAATACTATCAGGCTCATTTTTAGACATATCAGCTTCTCTGAGTTTAAGGTTCTTTGCTTATTAGAGAACTTTTCCAAATTTGCTGAGAGATTGGAATTTATAATCTTGTTATTTTTTAATGGCCTGTGTTTTTGCAGATCTCAACTATTTTCTTAATTTTCTAATCTCCTAAGCCATATTTTTAAGTCTTATGTTTTTTTCAATCTCACTGAGTTTTGAAAAGTTTACTCTGCTGCTTGACTTAACTCTCTCCATTTAGCTGCAAATTTTATTATCATCTTCAGAGTTTTCAAAGTTTAATGAGAAATCATCTTCTGAATTGTCCATTTTCATTTTTTGATGTTTCTTCTACATTAGACTGTTTTTAATTATCATAAAGATGTCTTTGCTGTTTCCCTTTTCTTAAAATCGTGATTCATTGTCACAATTTCGAACATCACTTGATTCTTAAAAGTTACTTATAGCAATACTTGCCATTACATCAGTTTATTATTGAATCTAGTTTATTTAATTATTTTTTGTGATGTTTTGCTTGTTTTATTGGCATTCATTGCTTTCTAGACACATAGATGGTATTCTTTTTTGATAATCTTGGGCTTACATTCGATATATGCTCAACTTTTTAAAATATTTTTAATTATATCAGAAGTACTTCCCTTAAATATTTAGAGTTGAAATTTAATATGCATAATGCAATCTATATATTACCGAATTCAATGTGTATAACTGAAGTAAAGCACATTTTTGCATCATGGGGTTTTGGGGTTTTGGGGTTTTGGGG